TCCTCAGGAAGCTGTAGAGAGCAATGAGGCCACCCCTCAGCCTCCTTTTCTCCAAACTAGACAAGTCCAAAGCCCTCAGCTGCTCCTCATATAGAGTTCCTTCCAGCCCTGTCATTGAATCTGTTGCCTTCCTTCTAAGGCAGATGCTCTTTTATTACATCTGAAACACCAATATGAAATTTTTTTTAATCAATTATTCACATGGCTTTGACATGGCCGCCTACCAATTCAAGAAAACAGTGAGAAGTAGAAATGAATATTCTTGCAAACCTGAACCAATGCTAGACATACAGAGGAGCTTTCTATAGGTAAAGTATTAGGTACACAGGTCCAGTGCACACTACTATCTCATTTCATTCCTTTATATATTAATACTGTAAGAGCACAGAATACACAATCAAAACACATGCTGGTTTTAGATATTCAACTCTGAAGATCAGAATACAAGGGACAAAGGTCAAAAAGCTTTAAATAAGATCCCCCCAAAATCCCACATAAAGTATAAAGAAAAGAAATTCAGTTTAATTACTGGAGCCACACCTTAACACAACTACTGTAGCTAAGTACACATGCAGTATTCTCAAAGAAGATGGTAATAAATTACTTTTAAGGATTTAGACACAACAAAATTCTCAAAATGCTGCTATATTTTAAAGCAGTGCCTGCTTCCCATGCTCTAAAGCATATAAAGACTACATTTTCTTTGCAATCATTCAAACCTCAGTTTTATTAATGGAATAACTGAACGTCAAAAAAAACCCAAACAAACCCAACCTAAAAATACGTTAAACCATAGGTTAAAAAAAAAACAAACCTAAAAATACTTTAAACCATAGGTCAAGTTAGCACAGCAAGGTACACTTGTCCCCCAGACATGAGGTCCATGTTGTGAAGTAAAAAAGGAACGACTCGCTTCCTTTTCCCTCACAGGTAAACAAAGTTCATAGCAACTTTCAAGGACTTTCTAATAGTAATTCATTAAGGCTGGGAGACCTAGAGCCAAACTAGGATCTCCTCTGTCAATTCAGTGGTTTAGTCATAGAGTTGCCCCCTGTGCTTATCAAGACATCACACCCTATTAGCTCTAAATGGGATGGGATAGGTAAGAGAAAACACATACTCTTCCAAACTCTTCCAGACACAGTTTTCAGAAGTTCAACATCAGAAAACACATTTTACAAAGACTAACACTAAAGCCCCAGGGGGGAGGAAGGGGAAGAAAAGGAAGAGGAAGGACCTTTCTGTTCCCATCCTGAGCTTATCTGCTGACTTACACAGTAAGAGAGGGGGAGAGTGGCTTCTTTCAGTCTCAGAAAGCTTCCCACAGGCAAGTAACACACACAAAAATTACAAATTACTATCAATTTCCATAGCAAAAATATATAGCATAATCCATTCCTATAGTGATTTCTCTCACAACCTCAAGGCTAGACACACTCTAACAGATAGAAACAGCCAGTTCTGCTGTTCTCTATGGCCCAATTATTAAACTAACTTTTAATTAGAGACAGGTTTATCTGATTAGTATTCCTGTAGAGCTTATGAATTTTACCAAATGTTCCAATAACTTTTCATGTCCTTCAACACTGGAAGAACAGTACAAATGGGCATAAATATGCCAGAAATGTTTTTAAAATAAAATTGCCATTTCTTACGTTATTACGTCTGCGGTACTTCTCATTTCTTCTATGCGAAACAGTGGCAAGTCTCCCTGAAACTAGGCAAAAATGTTTGGACCACAGCAATGATTTTACACCCAGACAAGTACTAGCATTTTATAAACCTGTAACTCAGTGCTAATACTACAAAACCCAAATGCCAGAATAATGACAATAACAGAAAGCTCATGTCAGAGCAATACCAGATTACAATAAGAGACATTTGAACATGTTTCAAGCACTTCTTCAAAGAATAACATATTGCAATGCTACAACCTGCTTTTCCAGGCACTCAACAGATTTCTTTGTGTCCATTTTTACAGTGAGTTCTGTCAAATCCATTAAATGCCTGTATTTTTATTAATCATGGGTTTATTTTTGTGTCATAATGTATTCAAATGACTACTGCCAGAGATTTGGAACAAATGAAAAGCACATATGGGCAAGCACCCTGAATTTACCTTTCATTAAAGAAAAAAGAAAAAACGAAAAAACAACCAAGCAAACAAAAAAAATCTGTGTTCTAAAACACTGCTTAAAACCAGAAAAAATAAAGTGAAAAATTATGTCTGATCTTGAAGCTGAATGCTCCAAGTAAACATAGGAAAGAAGTGCTCTGCATTTTTATTTTGGGGAGTTTCTTTATTGTTTGATGTTTATTTTACACATTTTCAAAAATGAGACTGTATTAAAATACAATCTTGCACTTCATATTGAATCTCACTATGAAGATCAAATACTTGGAAGTGCCAGCAAGTAGCATCTTGTTTCCAATGTTCAACTTGCCACGTATCAAACTCTGATAAAAACGAGTCCTCCTGCCAAGTCACAGTTCTATTGAAATATATGGACACCAAAATGTCATAATGATAATAATAAAAAAAAAAAATTGGTTAAAAAAGCTTATTTAAAACCATCCAAACATAGGTAAATAGAACAATCAAAAACAGAACAATCAAAGGCTACCAGCACTTTTCTAGCAGACGGGAAAAATACCAGAAAAACATGGAACAGGTTATTTCAAAACACAGTACTGTAAAAATGGTGAAGGTGGGGGCATCTTTTCAGATGCCTTGTAAGAAAAAAGAAGAAAACAAGCGCCCTTTCAAAACCTTGTACGCCAAGTTTTAGCCCAGAGCAAGTTTTCACTGCTATGTTACAAAACCCTTGAAAATAAAGGTTGATAATGGAAATGCTGACAGACCCTTAACCATAGCAGCATGAATAGCTATAATTAAAGAAGAGCTTTTGGCTACACCTTGCTCCGTAAATGAAAGATTGCCATTTTTACCATACCCTCAAATAAAAGCAACTGGGAAACCTGGAATGCGATTTCAGCAATCCAACAAGATATGTTAAAGGGGACCACTAAAACTATCTGTCATTTTAAGCTTTAAATACTGAGGCATTTAGTTAACGCAATCAAGTTAGTATTTTCATAATGCTACTTAATCAGCAATAAAGAATGCTCCTGTGAGCCATCATCTGGGGTTAGCAGAAAGTGGCACATGAAGTTATTATTTCCTAACAGCCTAGAGGGAGCAGCTTCTCTCTTTAATCAGTGATCTGACTTACTTCTTACCTGCAAATTCCCTGTCATGCAGTTATAAAATTATTAAGAGTGCTGGGTACAGAAAAATTACATTTATGAAAGGCCTACTATCTTATATCTGCCTGGATTTTCAAAACACGAGAGTGAGTGGCATTGAACTATTTCATCCTTCTGCAAGTCTGCAGACAGACCAGGACTAATCAGTCTGGTTACGCCAATAATAGTTTAACATCTGGTTGGCACAAAGTCATCCAATTCTTCTGAACCAAGAAAGTGGTTTCAGTGTTGTTCTATTTGTACGGCAACAGAAGCTTATTTGCAGTGAGTCTGTCAAAGTGAGAGAGAGAACCAGTAACATTTTCCTGTTCCATCGAACCGGAAGATCAAAGCATTTTATACACATTAACGAATTAAGCTTCTCTGTAGGTTGGATAAATAGGCAGGTAAAAGTAACCAAATGTATAAATACAGAAGCTGAAATAAAGAATTGTTAAATACAAGGCTCTAACAATCTCTCTCATACCAATTACTATTTGAGTGTGTTGGTAATTCAAATATTTCAACAGACCTGCTTTTTGTAAGGAAAGATACAAATACTGTCCTGTACCTTGTATGTGATGACCTGAGAAGTCTGCAATGAACTTCTATGCCCTCCTCCCTATCTTACAAGAGGACCACTTAACCCCTAGCTCTGGAGAGCTTCAAAATACTGTCAAGTTATGAAATAGGGAACTTCTTCCACCAGTCTCAAATTTTTCCCCATTTCATCTTTAAAAACAACGCAACAAATGCCGTGTGCTAGCTAATGGAGAAAATGTCAAAGTATTTTTGAAGTCTCCAATTTATTCCAGTAAATACATTCAGTTGAACTGAAATACTAAATAATAAATCAACTAAACTCAGTTTTGTGCTTCATCTTTTTTCAAAAGACTGCCAGAAAAACAGTTGTCTTGGGATCTATGAGCTATTGACAGCTGCAGTCAAACTACTAGACAGTAACAAAGAATCTAGTTAAAGAGAGATCTTGCATACAGGCCTCACTATTCCTGTTATGCATCCTTTCACAGCTCTTTCCACATATTTCAGTCTTGCACATTTGAAGTAATGGAAGATCAATAGCTGCCTCGTAATATCTTATAGAAAAAAAAAGCAGTTTGGGCTTCAAACTGGAGGACTACTTCTCAAAGGCATCAGTAGACAAAAACATGCTTATTGAAGGGCACTGTGGATGTTGAAAATTGAGCAAGTACATCAAAGCAAAACTGTTTGAAAGTCGTAAAATATTATTTCCTTATTTCCTATCAAACCCCAGAGAAGTATTTAAATTTCCATAACTGTGTATTTTATTGCAACCCTGGTGAAAAATTATAATAAAAAAAGAGACTGAAAACTAGAATAAATTCAGTGAATAATAATAACAATAAAAAACCCCACACCAAACCCACCTAATTTAAGTAATTTAGTACAGGTAATGATTTTGAAATTTCTTATGCCAAAGATGGTATTGTCTGAAATAGGAGCAACAGGATGATTTTCTAGAAAGCCACTAATTCATTAACAAAATATCAGGGATGTCAAACCTAGTGTCCTGAAATAGTAAGAAAACATTTTTAAGAGTCTAAATATAGTGAGGTATTGGTGGATTTGGAAATTTAACATATATCATGCACAGCACTCCAGAGATTTGAATTTTACTCTATTCCAGTACGAAGCTAATATGAACTACAGTTTAACCCTAAACACAAAACCAACACACCGGTCTATATCCACAATTTAACTAAATAACTTACCGAAGTCTGTCTAGAACAACCTGAAGAAAATTTAGGACCATACTCAGTTCAGCTCCTCGACAAGCAGGCAGCAGCATAGTAAAGCCATCATTTAACAACTTTTCCTCAGAAAGGCTTAAGTAGCAGCTGGTCTCAAACACTTCTTGCACACCATCGACATAGGTAGAAAGTACAGTCCAGAGATTTTGTTTCTGTGTGTAGTCATTTTTGGTTACTAAGAACTCCTTTGCCTTCTCACGGAAAGCATTTGAGAGCTTCTCAGCTAGAACACTAATGTCCATGTTCTTCTCAACATAAATCAAAATGAAAGCAAAATGACCTCTCCAGATGAGAGCTCTTTGAGACACAGTGAGGGAGGATGGAGTCAGGAAATCCAAAAGATCCAACACTCGACTCACTATATCCTCTGTTTCTGCAACAATTGCCAGCATGAGGAACAGGTTAAAGAAGTTCTGCAGCCCCACTTCTGTCAGCTCCTGCATTCTTCTCCGATGGAACTTGGAATAAATCCTACATTAAAAAAACAAACCAACAAAAACCAGGAAAGAGAAAGTTTTTTCTTAAACTATGCAAATTTCTATCTGCTTGATAGACTAAAATTTTATTTCCATGCTTTTAGTTTACAGTTATCCTCTTCAATAACCCCTAAGTTTTAAGCATCCCCTTTTCCCTCTCCTCCTGTACTACTACTAGAACAAAAATGCTATTTTATTTTCTGCTCCTAATACAAGGTACATGCTAAGTTTTCAACTCCAGGTACAGCCTAACCCTTCTCCCTTATGCAACGAAGTTGTGCATAAAGTTATGAGCAGACTCTCTCTACCTTGTCTGTGATGGGTGTCCTCCACACCATGCCTTCACATCAATGAAATTTAGCCCATAATGGCTCCTAAGAAAGGAAGTTGCCAAGTGGTATCTCTTTGCAACAGCAAACAATTAGAGTACCTCAACTTCTTCCCTAAAAAACTCCCTTATTTCTTTTACTGACCTGGACTGCACTTCTACTGTATGGAGTGTGGACCACAAGTTTGGAAGAAAACAGGGAAACTAAGGTGTTTGGAAAAGAATCCGCTCACCAGCAGGAAGTTATTAAGAAACTTTAAGCTGTATTGCTTATATGACAGTGCTCAAGTCATACGTAGTTGATGGTGAGAAGCACGGCTACTTTGCAACTTTAAAGGGGTTGACAAGAAGCACAAAGCTTTTACACATATCTCTTTTCTATGACTTTTGTTCAGATCCGGACTTTAAAAAAAAATGTCAGCATTCTTACAACAGAGGATTAAGGTGAAAATGGCTTGCTTAACTTTCTGATTTCTGTGTTTAAAACCTTGGGTATATCCTTCACCTTTAATTTAAAGTACATTCCACATGCAGTAAGTAAACATCCATAAATGCCATTTTCCTGTTCTGCTACCTGGAAAAATAGTGGGAAGTGGTGCTGCGGTTATCAAATTTAGCCACCAAAATTTACAGCAAAGCCAATTAATCTTGTTTAATAGTAAATTATTACTGACAGGCATTTACATTCTTCATGCATCAATTAATGCTTGGTTAGCTGCTGAAAACAGAGTTCATCCCAAAATCATTGCTGCAGGCTGTTAAATTTTGCTACTTGTGTAATTGATTTATTCAAGGCAGAGAAGATGAATACTGGTTGAGCAGACTGACACAGTGTGTGTTGTCTATTATTATTCCCCCTCTTAAATTAGGGAAAGTAACAAGCTATAATAGCACAAAAACGTTAAGTATAATTTGCTTTCAGTAAAAACAGAACAGGCTAATTAAAATTACTAATTACATCCAACAACATGTTTGTTTGCATACAGTTGTAACAATTTTTAAACCCAAACTTTACTGACTGTAGCAACTTGTGAAGTGTACATAAATATTAGGTATATTTTCCCCTTCTTGGAAGAAACACACCAAGTAACTTTGTAAACAGATGTGCATTCACATGTGTATCTTTTCTGTATTTGTTATTTGCATACAAAAAATACATAATAAAAATTTGACTGATTTTATTAATGCTTAATAATATTTTTTTAAAAATCAAAACACACCCCCCCCCCCCAATATTTTTAAGTCTTCTATACCCAATGGGGGGGGGAAAAAATAAAATTAAAGAGCACTTTCAATTATCAGTACAATCTCATTATTATAATAAAAGTTTTAAGCATTCAATAAATCTTTGTAACATCAGGATTTTGATTTAGGCCATATATATTTTATAGGGGGTTTTATATCATGACTGAGTGTACATCTTAATTAGTATGTTTCAAAATGAAATGAAAACTCAAAACTCTCACAAAAAAAGAATATCATGAGAAATTTTGGAAAGCATGAAAAAGAAAATGGAAACATAAATTAAACTGCAGGGCTAGCAAGAACCAATCTGCATGTTCTTGGACAACACATGGCTTAAATGCAGCTCAAATAGAGTTCATCCTTTAATTACATTACCTGTCTGGCAATAGGGTTGCACCACTGCATAGGTTGCCAGTGTAACAAATTCCTGGCCTGTGGGACAAAGTAAATTATCACAAGCTATGGATGCCAAGGTGATTCTTGGACCCAGCTCCTGGACTTTGCCACAGCCTCAGCTGGCATCAGAAACTTCAGGGAACAACTGCTTTCTTCAAATTATGAATCATCCTGGATACCTCCCTTATCCCCTTTACTTTCTCATGAGCACAGTACCCCCACTTGCTTTGCTGTGTGGCTGGAAGGGCCACATTCAGTCTGACTGACTAGATCTCTTACAACACAAGACAAACTAAATAGGAGCCATACCGTCCTTTAATTTGTTTCCAAGGATGCATGCCATTGTTCTCTGCTTCCTTCATCATCCGTGCCAAAATACAGAGAAAAATGAAGTAACTGTTGCTGGACATGTACAGGGTGTGGACCTGCTGTTTACAACAGCAGCTTTTCGCCAACTCAAACATTAATAAAGAAGTTTTACTAACGCTTGCCAGACCCTTCAGACCAAGCCAAGGAACAGTAAAGCAACTGTTCTAAAAGAATAAATAAAACGGGAGAGATTGTAAGTAATAATAAATGCTAACATCCCAAATGCAATAAGACGCAATCCACACAAAAAAAATAAAAAATGCATTGCAACTATGTGAAAAGTATCTTTACAAGATCTTAAAATCAGTAGTCTTGATGAAAAATAAGAGTCAAAACCATATTGTAATTAATTCTATTGTTACACAATGTAATGGAACATAACATTTAAACATGATTTCTTAAATAAATAGAGCAAATCTAGGGATACTGCCATTTACTAAATATTGTAAATATATTTTACAAAAGTACAGCCATCAAGCTTGGCTAGAGGAGAATCAGAATTAATTACTAAAAATGGGGGACTGTCAACATGAAATTCTTCATTTTTATATATTCATATACTTACCAGGTTCTTGCTGTAATAATCCCAGAGTATGGTGACAATAGAGAGGTTCAAGTCCCAGGAACTACACAAAGTTAAACAGCACTGAAGATGCATTCTTAAGTGTTCCTCTAACACACCAGTCTTGAAAAGGGAATAAGAAGTTTATTGTAGGTGGGGAGCATCATCTTGTCTAAACATAAACCTGATACTACCAGACTCTTACGAATAATTTCCTAATATAATTTTTAATTTAAATTACATAACATTGAGTAAATGCATCTGCTAATACCAGCCATGAATTACTAAATAAAAGCTGACAATTGCATCCTGCAATCCAGCCAATATAAACAGTTCATCACCATTTCAGGCACCCGTAGAATTGCACACATTAAGATAACAGCCAACTCAGTATTGTGAATCTAACTTGAACATGACTGCATGGTGCATAATCTTGCTAAAAGGTATATGAGGGCATTAGCTAGACTGCATGCAAGCTAACACTTCAGCCCTTCTGTTATGCAAGTCCAAAAGAAAGCTCATTTGCCACTGATACTGAGAGAAAGTGCAACTGTGTGAGAGCTCATGTTTGTCTTAATGTTCCAAACAGGAGGATCTTTTCTTTCTGAATCATGTTCCTTCTCAACCCCGTGCAACATGGCTATAAAGCTAACAACCCAGACAACTCTGTATTAAGGCCAAATAAGATCCTGAAACACTGGAGGAAAGAGGGAGGTTTGCACACAAAAGGAAGGTGGTTCATAGGAAATAAAATAGGAAATGTCAGACAATTTGAACACAGTGAAGGGTTCAGGTTGTAATCATGGATACTGAGAGTGGGATCCATCTCATCCAACTTCTGATATCAGCAAAACTGGACTTGCATGGGAGCTAGGATATTAGGAGCTACCGGCTCAGACTGAAATCACATGTTTAATTAGCCCGGTTTAGACATTGGGATAAATATAGGATGACAAGCTCTGGAAGAGCTTTATTGTCTCCACTGGCTATAGAAGTGGTTTAGTGGACCAGCTTGTGTGTAGTTGTCTTAAGAAAAGACTTTTGCACATGTAAGTCTAACATATCCAGGATAACAGCAAACTTGTTCTGCGACAAGAGAAACCCGTGACCTACTTCTAGCTTTCAAATACACCTAAACACTATACAGGCCTGGAATTTCTAACAGCATAAAATAAGCTAGAGGAATAAAAGGGTTAAGTAAAAAAGTATATACAGGATGAGTTTTATGACTCAAAATCATAGCCCCAGGGAAGGGAATGAAGGAAACCATGTCTCAGATAAATACTGGGAAATTTTCCCCTTCAGTTCTGATTAGAGTGCTGGGCCCTGAACTATGTCCCAAGCTCATCCAGCTCAGAAAATGCTGAAGGTTAAAAAAAAAAACAAAACCAAAACCAAACAAAATACTGATGCCAGGTGATGGGAAAAGATATCATTGGGTTGTGTTGCGTTTTATTGTTTGTTTGGGGGTTGCTTGTTTGCTGCTGTTGTTTTAAAATATTCTAGCATTAAGTACCTGTCACTTAGCTCTTACCCACAATGCTATTTCTTCCTGCTTACAATGTCTTTCAGCTGCTTTTTCTCCTTGTTTTCAAGGCTACACATGCTATACAAAGCAGCTATAACTTACTAACTTATCTCTACCTGGCTATACATTCATGTGGAAAACATTATTTGCTACACTTTATCAGAACACTGTAAACAATTACACCAATCATCTACACAACTTCTAAACATGCCTGCCTTCTCATGAACAATTAATGTAGGGCATATAGCTTCTAAAGTGGTATATTTCTGCAACTTGAAAACTGAAATGGCAGTTTCAATTGTCATATGTAATGTCTTGTATATATAATTTTCTAACATACAAAACCCACTGAAACAGGAAAGAAAACTCTTCAAGAGAGAGTTGTTAAAAGATGCACAGAATAAGCGTGCAAATATAATAAAAATGCCTACGAGAGGTGATGTTCAAGTATTATTTTTATGTATAACATAACTGTAACTATTAAATTAGTAGTCTTCCCAAAATAACAATAGTATACAAAAAAAAAGTCAGAACCTCAGCCATTTTCAAAAGCTGCTGTTTTTTAATGAATAAAAGAGTTATGATATAAAACCAAAAAAACTGCAGCTGAACATATCTATTTCTCTAGAGAGCTATCTAGTTATGAAGGATGTAAAAAAACACCCCCAGAAAACAAACAACCAAATCAAAACATACACCCCTTAGAAACAGAATGCTTAGTCTTAAAGCTGTAATTTGTGCACAGGATTATATTTAGGATCTAATTCAACAAACAATGACTGCTTCAGTTAAATTAATTCAACAATAAAAGTGTTATTGTGAGCAGCTTCAATTTCAACCATTATTTATCTAACCAACAATAGTTTCAGAAGTTTCCAAAACAGAGATAGTACTGAAGGATTTATCTCAAATTTAATATGAAAGTTCTCCAGACTTCAAATATCCCTGGGATTAATAGATTCTCTCATTGCTCTTTTGCTTAAAATGGTCTCTTGCACTGCTGGATATACTATCAGAACTCTTGAGGAAGTCAGCTTTTAATTTATCACAGAAGGGAGGAACACCAGATATCATCAAAATGATAGTACTATCTAAACACAACATTTTTCTCTTATGACCTCCTACTGTAGTAACAAAATTGGTTTCCTAGAACTCCAACAAATACTTCTGTATCTCCTTTAGAGTAGAATTAAAGAAGAAAATATAGTGAAGGTATAACAAAACTGAGGCAGAAATGAAACAACATAAAGCATTTATTTTCTAAAATGAGAGAAGGCTAATAAGACAGACTGCTATTAATTCTTACAAACAAAAAAGCTTTTGATTCTCACTTACAATAGAACTTTGTAAACATAAATTCTTACACTGACAAGCCATGAATTTAGTCAGTTTGATGTTGCCTAGTATACAAATACAGCTGTGTAATTTTCATTTTGTAGTACGAACAGCATTGTAAACCAGGTATACATTTCTCATTAGCCCAGTAACAGAAATCCAAATTACAACAGAGGTAGGGAATACCTCATGTAACTAGTTTCCCCATAAATGCCCTTTTTTAGTGTTACAGATAGGAGATCTTTCAAACAAGCAATTGCCTTCAACTCTATCCATCAAGAACTATAAAAAGAGTGAGCAGTTCCTGGCTGAGAAACTCACTAGTCTATCAACTGTTTGAAACTGAAAGGATGTATCCAAGGAAGCAGCACTCTGCATTTTCCCAGGTATCTATTATTGTTCCCATCTTTATTTACAGATCACAAGTAGAATAATTTTGCTTCACATCCCCATTGGTCCCCTAACCTGAACAGCATCTTCACATCTTAGCCTTACTCAGAAACAGGCTGACTATATGAAGTTCCTACCTGAAGACAAGGAACTGCAGCACTCCTCTGTCAGCTTCACTTGGACACGAGATACCTTCCTCAGGAAGTCTTTATTACCCACAAATTTAGGCTTATGCTGGATGAAGGTGGCTCACACTGGTAGGGATCACTAAACAGTTTTACTGAAACTACCAATATGCTGTAGGTTTAACACCGGTTAGTCATTCCAATACTTAGCTGCCCTAAGAATGTTAAAGCTAACTCCAGCTTCTGGTGATCATCATTCTTTTCTCTGTGACAATGCTACCTTACCCTCAAAACGCAGGTCTGCAACAGTGCCTATCATCTCTCATAACACAGAGATTGAAGCTTACATGAAGAGAAATTGACATTTACTGGTAGGAGAGAGATCACCAATTTACATTACAAATGTATGATCTGCACCTTTTTCAGATGCTTTTGAACGTACAGAATTATGCATACTTGATTTCATCTCCATTTCCTCCCCTTCCTTTCCATATTCCCATTCTCCACCTGAACATGTACAGTCTACAACCTTTTTAAGATAGGGAGCAACAAGCACAAGCGCCTTAAAAGGATGATGGACATAGTATGTTGTAAACATTACTAGGTTTTAAGCTCCCATATACTTAAAATTAAGTTTCTAACCACCAATTCCTGACCTCTCTTGCAAATGAGTGATTCTGCACTATCATTTCTTCTAACTTATTTTGCACAGCTATTACTGCGCATAGTATAGATAACAGAGGATATATGCTGAAAAGTATGGCTCAGGTAGGTTTTACTAACAAACAAGCCATGCGTTAGTGGGTAGTATCATCAACACCTTCCTGTTTTTCATTCAAAAGAGCACTATTCTCCCTTTTGCTTTCTCCTGCTTCTCCCTGTTGCATTTCATTGTTGATTTCTTGATATCCCATTGTGTTTCTCATTCTTATATTTTCTGGTCTCAAACATACTCGGAGATATAAAAGGATAAGATAAAAGGTAAGACTGGCCATATGAAGCCAACAGATCAGCAGAGAAGACAGACACTGTCTACTAATGAAAGAAAATCTTCCTAGATGCTGCTAAGAAGGCTGGTGTTTAGGGATAGGAAGCAAGATGCATTTTTTCAACAAAAGTACCTACATCCACTTGTGCATGCACACATAGGGACTAATGCCCTCCAAGGAGCACTTCCTACAAGCAAGGAAAATAAACTAGAAGGCTTCTTAAGGCAACTGGTAACAGTTGCAAACATGTCCTTGGCAAATGAGGGTTTGTTTTAATTCTAACAGCGATTGTCTTTAGAAATTAAATCAGGTATTTTCCTCATATTACTGTCTCATGATTGACTCATCCAAATCTTCTGAACTTGGCCATCTAGCTGCCTTGCTAAACTGTCTAAAATTCAATACTTGTTTACCAGAAGCATCAAAAAGCTGTATCTTTTACATATACTCAACTTCAGAGTAATCTTTATTCAAAAAGATATTCACAAGAAAAACCGAATATTTTGAAGACAAACATTAACTACACGTGTCTTCTTAATGTTTCTGACATTGGTGACATACAAAAAACGCAACACAGGAAGGTATCTAATAAGCTACTCATAATTTCTATGTCTCTTGCCTAAATCTCTCCAGTTTCTCTCACAAATAGTAAGCATCCAGTAAGTGATGTTATCACTGTAGTTTTAATGTATATGCACAGTGTGTATTCAGTTGCATACTGTGAAACCATTCAAAAAGAGTTAACCTTTTAAGCTGAAAGACTACATAAACAAATGTGTTTATGTACAGCAGGATTTTTCAACTTTTTAATACTTTAATGAATCAACTATCCAAACAACTACAAAATATCTTTTTGTAAAAACTATAATAAGTATTGTTCCATACTCCAGCTTCAACCACAGCTGCTGTTATAAGCAAGGCAGTAGTAATAAAAAGAAGTAACTGCTTCCTTGTCTAATTTCAATAACAGAACTTTGCAGAATTTTTTTTTTCATCTGAGAAAGATGCTCATTCCCTTCTTAAGCGTACAAAAATTTTTATAGGTGTTGCTGATACAGCATTTGCAACCCGTACCATGCAACTTCAGAACAAATTTATAGAGCTGCAATGTAACATATTTATAAGCATGATGAACAGCATATTTAAAAGCATTTTAAAAGGAGGTCAATTCTGACCTCTGGGCCTTGAAGCACTGCATTAACAGTTCTGCAGAAAGAAAAATGATAAGGTATGAAATGAGTGCTCAGAAACTAGAACCTTATCAGTAAGAGCTCAATTCAAGCCTGTAAGACAAATTGCACAGCAAGACAAGTCACCTTCCTGCTGTGATGAGGATATAGCTGAATTTTCAATGCAACTGACTATCACCTTCATCATGTCTCCTCAACTTGATATCCTCACATTCAGTATCTGGTTTACATTTTCTAAGCATCCAGTTCTTATTCTGAATACATCTTGTCTGAGTAGCCACATACTTACCCTTCCAGGATAATTATCTTCTTCCTTTATCTGACAATTTAGCATCAAGCACAACCACTTTTAAGCAAGTGTAACTGCTAACAAGGAGGGAACTGTATGCTGCCATAGTTCACCTACACCAAAGATGCTCATTTACCTTGATAAAAACACTAGAATTCTCAAAATATACTTATCAGGTGGACTTAGTTTCATGTAGTGTCTTTTCCTGAAAGCATCCCTGACACCTTCCTTGTTTATTATTTCTTTCTTTACACACTTACTTGAGCATCAGTGGATTTTTTAAGGAGTTCTTCCACAAATTTCCAGTTGGATTCCTTCTGTTTCTGAAAAATAATGATTATCAGCAAGAAACAGCATTTGTATTCCTCACACAAATCATTATATAACAACATGAAGATAAGGAAGCAAGAGATTTTCAGAAATGTTTAATTTCATGACTGCTTACTGTAGTCGTCACTGAAAGTAACTTTTCTGTTTTATGAATGTAATTGATAACTATTCTAAAAATTAGGCCTCAAAATCATATGAAGAGCAAAAAAATAAAGAGGACACAATTTAAACTGCTTTAACTTGACTCATTTGCAACCCCAACCTTCGCTTTAAGTAAAGAAGCAAAACATTCAGGCATTTTTGATTTATGAGCAGTATATATTACAATTTCTTTAACATGCAGTAAAAGGAAGGTATAAGTGGTAAGAAGGAGGAAGAGGTACAATCTCACCTTTTCTTTTTTTTCCCTTTTCAATGAAAAAACACTTCTAAGTTATATTTCCCTAGGCCAAACACTAAGAATTCTTTTAGCCAGTGCAGTAAGAAGTTAGCCATTTGGTAATGGCCTATAAAGATAAGAGAATATACAGGTTATGTCAAATATGGCCCATAATTCATACTCTTCAGCTTGGGAAGACAGAGATCTATCCATTCAAATCAACCAGACCGAGCTACTAAAGTAAGAGAATTGCAAGGTGAAGTATATTAAGAAGGAAGGGAAAAAAAATATTTAGGCAAAGTAGGAAAGAAGAGGGTAGAAGGTTTTGCAACTAAGACTATTTCCCAGGGAAAAATGTGAAAGGCAACCAAGCCAACACACTTCCAAGTCTAGGTCCAAAAAACCAAACAAGCAAAAAAAAAAAATCTCTTGCACTCAGCTATATATGTAGCTTGTGTAGATAACTAGATGTGTGAACACAGATCTTTCATCAGTGTCCTGCCTTATACTAATTCCCTCCACTACCACAACTGTTAAGCCTTATGAATTATTCTGAAGATATCTATTCTGTAAATGTATAGAATTAACAATAAGGAGCATCTTATGCTTTGGTAATTGAAATATAACTACTTTTCAGCAGCCACACCATCATGCCCCATCCTCCTCTGCTATTGATTGCACTACTTAATGCTGTGACTTCATGACAATTCCACACAGAACTTTAGAGTACCAAGAGAATTTTAAAGATGAACTCTTTAAAAAGATGCACTAATACTTACATAAGATAATTTGCCTATTGGTGGCTTTATATTTTTGCACAAGAGTTATGAAAGATTACTGATGGAAGCAAGTGCAGTCTATGGACCATCCATGGAAAAAATATGAATGAAGGGACAGAACTGCAGAAAATTATACTATAGCTGTGATTTCACAATTCAGGAACTTGAACTGTATCAATTAAGGAGTCTCCACTGCTTCCTCCTCGTCCTGCTAGCTGTTGTTCCTGCCCTCACAGCTATAGCCTGCCTTTGCTCAGTTATTCTGATACTTCTGTTTGTGGGACACAGTGTGAACCAGATCACTGAACCAACCTAGAGCTTTAGCAGAGAAAGAATGAAAAGGGGAGGAGAGCTAAAATACAGTCTACTGTATTTTAGAGCTTGACATTATGTGAACTCCTATACACTGTCACGGTCATGCTGCAGACTCCAAGTAAATCTAGTCAACTGCTCTAAAGACATGAGTAGATATTAGAGATAATCACGCTAAATGGCTACAAGACCTCTTAATGTCCGCATCAACTTGCTCAGAACATTCTTTTAGCACTCACACAGTCCAAGGACACATGATCTATACAAAAGATGTTTATTGCCAAAGTTCCAGCTCAGCTGCAGTATGCAAATCACTTTACAAGATCCTGGACTAATCTAGTGCAAACTCCTGACACCAGCAGGAATTTATTGCAAGACTGCACCCAGGTTCAACCCGAACTCAGGAAATAATGACACTAACCACCTGCTGCACTCTTTTTTTTTTTTTATTAGCCTCAATCATCTTTGATATTTCAGCAGACCTGTGTCATTCAAATCCCATTAGATTACATCCTAACAGTATTCCCTGCTCACTGCCAATATGGCACGGCAACTGTGTACAATTCATTCTTGTCAGACAATACACAGAATCTACGTCTCTTACTCCAAACCTGCTGGCTTATAACAGCCTCCTTCCTCCTCCAGTGTGCCCTAAAACCAACTAAACCTAGAGACTTTACAGTGCATAAAAGTGCTGCTAAAACCAAAAATGTAAGCTAAGACCCTTCAAGTTTGCAGGAAGAAACTTTTTCAAGGTCTAACAGCTGACTACCTGTAAGAGCCATTCTAGGCTTCTCATCTTGAACTCTGTGTTTGCATATCTTGCCATGTAGTCATTTCACATTATTGTATGCAAGGCAAGAATTCTTAGCCCCAGGTAATTCTGCCTGTATTTTCCCAGCCCACAGTATATTGAAATTGACCCCTGCAATGTTCAGAAGTAGCAAATTTCCTCATCAGGTCCCATTTGGTTTTTAAATGTACAAATCGTGCTTTTCAGAAGAGTGAAGTGAGACCTGAGTGAGGGGTTATGGGAAGAGACATGTACTGTATATTCCTTAGAACAGAGTCTCAAATGGGAGACCTGGCCAAAATTTTCTAGTTTTAAGAAAAATGGTTTAAAGTATATGAAATATATATTCAATATATATGAATCATTGCATGTTTGAAATTACATTATATGAGCTAAAGGGGAAGAAATAAAAGGAAGCAAGTCTGAAACCTATTTAGAATTTTAAAAGCTTTCATAATAACCTCAAGGCCATGCAGACCACATTAAAAAATTGAAAATCTTCCACAGATGACATAGGCTTAGAGGCAATTTTTGCTACACAGCACATGAATAACCATCATTATGACACATCACCCTCCCACCTCTGATCACAGTTAATTAAAAGAAAGCATGTGTCATGAAGCTATCACATCAGATGTTTAACCAACAAAACAGGACTACACTGAGTCCTGATGTAATTCCACTGGCTTCACAAATTCATAATTACAGACTATTTTATTTTAAAATATTCAAAGAACGTTTGAGGCTGTAATTTGAGGGAGGAAGAACACCTGAAGAAATGCTTACGATCAACTATCTATGACAGACTATATTCTTGTTTGTGAAAAGTCACTGTTCTTACCGATAGAATTTTTTTGTGAGCACCAATGGCATTTAAGAGAAAAGGGATCCCTGGACAAATTCACAACCACACTCTGATTCAAAGCACAGCTAACAGTTTGAACATAAAGACTACTGGAATCATCAAGAGGAGTGTGCACAGGATGGTCTCATGATTTACAGATAGAGATTTGGAAATTATCTTTTCACAAATGGGATCTAAAGAAAAATTGTTATTTAATCTTGGGCAAGTCACTTCCTGTCACTGTGTCTCAAGATTCCTACTTTAAAATAAGAACAACAGGAATTCTTTTTTTCCATTCTACATCTGCTTAGCTTATTTAAATAATACAGTGCCTGAGGCAAAAAATATTCTCTCATGAGGCTAAATACATAGTATGTATCAGTACAAGAGACAGGAAAAAATTCCAATGATCAAAGTAAACAGTATCACTGCATTTTGATTAGGGCATAAAATATAAGAAACCCAGGATAAAATATCTGCTTCACTCTGGTTTCTATATTCAACCTGGGAATAACCTTTCTCTCCATTTAAGCTCCTCTATAAGCAATAATTCTATCCAAGGTTCCTCTGAAATACACAATGGACTGTGGTCCTTTCTGACTACCACAGTAACGGGGCAAAAGCAAGCGAAGCTTGGGACAACCTTCAGTGTAACAATCAGATGTCATCTGCAATTTTTCACCATATGAATGCGTAAGAAGTTGCTTCATTTTGCCATGGTATTATCAGAAAAGTCTGAACAACATGGTAATGCGCAGCCTGCCATGGGATCCTAAGGATCTGTCAACCCGCAAGCAGTGGAAGCATAAGTACCCCACCCTCATCAAGTCCTCTAGTCACCCAGAATGGTCATGAGTTTTACAACTAAGTATTTAAGCAGTGAGTTATGCCTTCTCTATATTTTAGTTTTTTGACAAATCAGTCAAATTTGCAAGTTAAAAATAAATGCAAGTAATCCTTAACTTTATTAGAAAATCTAATTTTACCTATGATTAAAAGTATTCACATAAGTCCAGCATTTTTCATTCTTTCTCTGTTTATATACTCATGCTTTTAAAGATCCAAAGATGATGGGGAGGATTTTAAGTTATCAAAACAAATTGATCAACTGATGTGATCAGACTCTTCCGTTTTTACAGATCTGCAGTTTACACATGTGTTCCAATGTTTTAACCTTTTCTCCTAAGTTGGTTTAGGAAATCATGGTAAAGATTTTAACAGAAAAAGGGTATGACCTTTCCAGCTTCAAATTAAAAATATTAATTTACAAATAATGAAAGACACTTTACAAGAAACTGCAATCAAGTCAAATTCATGGAAGAAGCAATATATAGCTGGTGCTTGGCTAACTAGAGAATATAAGCAATCTAGCTGGAATGCAAAAAGAAAAAAACCCTAAACAAAACAAAAACCCAAACAAACCCCCCCCCAAGCTCTACAGTGAGGCAAAAGATAAAAGAACAGGACAGAAGATGGCATGACCTAATTCTCCCTGAGGTTTATACTTTATGGGGTATAATCTAATGTGTTCAGTTCCTAAAACAGAACTGGTGAAGCATTTATCCTGCAGGCAGGCAGTTTTAAAACATATGCTACATCATTAAGTCTATGTGTTACTAACTAGTTGGGATATTTCAAGTTTTCTTAATACAGTAATCTACTGAATATCTGGTATATAACATCAATATGTCAAGGGCTCTTGCAATGTTTACTGACTTGTACAAAGCACACCTTAACACCACCAACCTCAAAGGACTTCCTTAAGGAGCGTGAAAATTCCTTTATTAGAACATGTATTTTTGTCTATCAACAAACATAGCCAAAGTTAGACACCTCAATAAATTATAACAACTTTCAGGTATTCAGGAAAAAAACATACCTACCTTTTCATCTAGGTTTCCATTACGGTCAAACTGGTAGAGTGAGGCCAGATGACTAATAATCCACCAGCTAAAACTCAGTGGGTCTTTACACTGAACCATTTCAAAACCAGACATGCTTTCAGAACTACTCGGCCTTTCAAAGATATTCTTTAGAGTTCTGTTCACCAAGCTCCAGAAACTCTGTAGAAAACGCAAAACTAAATTTAAACTGTGTTGAATAACAAAGCCTATGTTAACAAGTTTGCCTACAGTACTGTGCTGATTAATTTGCTTTTATATAAAATAAGTGAGATGGCAGTCATTTAAAGAAAATAACAAAAAAAAAAAGTGCTCAGTATGACCAGAGAAAACCGGGAGCTACTTTTGAATGTCCTCTCTAAAATGCCAGTAGAAAGCAACATGAAAGGACAAGCTTTGGTAACAAGGAAGAACATGGTGCGAAACTTCACAGACAAAATTACAAGCTTTTGGAATGCCGACGTGCAGATGGAATGGTGCAATACTCAGATGAGAGAAATTAGAGCTCGTTAATGAAGACTTTCATAACAGATTTTTGAAAAACTTTTAGTGGCAGACTAACCTAACCAAGAGAAATACAGTAGTATATAGCAGAGAATCAGTCTGAAAGGCAGCAAACTGAGGTTCAAATTCCCTGGTTTATTTCAAATCTGTTCTAGCACTGACAAACTGATTAATTCTCTTTGGCTCAGATCCCTGTCTATCCCACATACAGCTTCTTACAGACTGCACCTATCATCCCTAATTATATGAAAGTCTCTGGGACTTCTTTGCACCTGCATTTCACCCACCTTAGCTGGGTCCTGATCTCAGTGATGATCTCTTATGCTTCAATGTGCTTGTGCAAACACTTAACACGTATGAAGGTTCACTTGTGCTGTCCACCTTCACATCTGCTGTCATTCATGAGTAAACAGCTATCAGTACAAACACTCTACTGTGAATTACTTCATTCTATACTAAGTGAACTCTGTGCAGTACTTATTGCACAGAGGGCAGGTTTGGTTTTTATAAAGATTATTTCAGAAAAATTTCAAAGGATTTTGACATTTCTTAATTCAGAGAAACATCATATCAATTCTAACCAGAGGTCAAGAAAGAAAAAAAATATCAAAATACTAGGAAATATTAGGAAAGGGTTAGGGTTATTATCATTATTCCAAGGTATAAAACCATATGGCCACCTAACTTGGAATACTACATGCAATCCCGGTAGTCTGCCATTTGAGACAGGATCTACTAGTACGGAAACAGGTTCAGAGAAGGGTAACAAAGGTGACCACAGGTAGAGAATGGTGCTTGTAAAAAGAATGACTGATACAGTAAGACTTTTCAGCCTAGAAAAGGTAGAAGCTAGGAGATACCAAAAAAAAAAAAAAGTCATATAAAGTCATACTGGTATAAGGAAGGAGAACAGGTAGTGATTGGCTCTTCCAGTAAAAGTATAAAGGGAATAAAAAGAAGTCAGCAACTACAGGATCAAAAAACAAAACCCAGGTTACTCTTGTCTGAGTAGTTAAGGTATGGGTATCAAAGACTGAAACACGGGCTACATATATCATTGGTCTGACTACACTTGTGTTTCTAATGCTTAGAGATGAATCATTGCATGACATAACATAGAAATTGCAAATATTTTTTTATTTTTTCTAATGGGTAAAGACAGGTTTTTTTCTTTTGTTCTACCATACTGCTTTCAGAGTCTGTTCCTTTGCTTTACTTTCTTCAGTACAAGGAGCACTCTATCAGTACCCTACATCATTACCAAACAGTACACTGCAAACCTAGAATCAGGACTTGACGCACATTTAAGCTGGAAACCTAAAGCATCATAGTTAGCATGCAGTCCTCCTTACACAAACACGAACTTCAGTTCCATCATATGTGAACTCATGCATTCATGGCAATCTGGGAACATTTGGCAACTGTATTGCATATGTAACACACATGCATATGTAACAGTATTCTTCCATTACCTCTGTGTGAGACCCTCTATTTCTATGGTCCAGCAGCTGAATAAGTAGAACCCATAATTCTTTAATGCAGGTACAGGGATAATGGTGACTAATTAGAGCCTCAGAAGGTCTCACCTGAAATAGGCAATACAATTATTCAGAGAAGCGTCATTTTTAAATTGCATTTTATGTACCAATATTTTAGTTGTTTGGAGTTGGCTGCAGTTACATAATACAGCTAAAATGACACATTAGAAGGTGCATTATTTCATTAACATCAAAACTGTATCTCATACAACAAAGACCATTTCCTAATGCTATGTAAGTTGCAGGTGCACTATTTCTTGGTTTCTTCTAAGCCACTTTCAAAAATTATTTAATCATATGAAAATGGAATTCTGAGGCCTAAATGAAAAGGAATTGCAATAAATACCGATTCATTGTCTGACAGTAGGGAAAAGATGAAATAATTGATTAGATTTTCTTGATGTTCTTGGAAGATAAAGATTTAAGATAATTTAATAGCTATTATTGTTATTTTTAACTGGAAACTACTTAATGACTAGGCATAATGCTAGTAGAATATGTTTTTGTTGGCATGAGGATGTTAATGTTCCCACAACATTTCACAAAATCTGCTTTTTGGTAAACTTACTGCAAGGCATTCTTTTAATATGCAGAAAACAGCATATTTCAAGTCGTGTATGTTATTTGATTACTATTCCATATTTAAGAAAATTCATTCAGACTGATGCATTTCAAATGCAAAGCAGTCTTCTTGTGATTCATCCTTCAGCTTTACATTCCCTGGATTGTGAAACAAAACAGCAAAAGGAATTGCTAAATACATAAAAATTCTCTGTGTGCTTTAATGTTTTTAAGACCTACCAGCACTGTATTTGAAATAATCATAGTACAGACAAAACTTTACTTGGGCTGTCTTCAGACCTATGAATCCACTGAACTGCATTCAGAAGTGGCAAAAAACAGCGAGAAAAGCTTTCCTGAAATCGCATAATTAAGCACATTTTAGCTTCAGCAGGGACACAATGGCAGAAATGTAGAAAGAAAAGAGGCAAAAGGCAGCTCATACTGTTTATTCCTAAACAATGAGTAGTCCAAGCCTGAATAATCAGCCCTTCTAAAGCACTTCTAATAGTCACCTAGAGAGCCTAATTCATCTAACTCAGTGCAGGAGAAAGAACTGTTCCTATCCTTCCTTGACAAGATAAAGAGCCTAGGGTGACTAGTTTAGACAACTGACTTCTAGACACCCAGATCTGATGAGGTGAACCTTGAATTTTTATAACTTCATGCTCTTCCTGATCCATTCATGCACAGCTGTTCTCAAAACACACTGGTACTTAAAATAATTTCTGAATTTGTAAATCTAATGGTGCAAATTAAAAACAAAATCAAAATACACAATGCCAGTGACGGCAATAGTGTGTGAAAGAGACGTTAAAGAAGTGCAAGTAAGTGACTGAAAACCACACTCTCACAATTAGAAGAGCAAGTATATTAACAATAATTTCAAATCTGTACAGTATTCTGTAAGTACACAGACTTTTTATTTATCATCCACGACTACTGTTTTCATACAGCTCCAAACTGGGTTTAAATATAAAATAATTTTAAATATTGAATGTATTTATAAGTGACACATAATTAGTTTTCCTCTCTCTGTAAAGAGCCCTTCTTAGCCTTGAAACTGCCAGGGTGAACCCCGACAATTTATTTTACAATATCATGAAGACTGAAATATTTAAAATAATTCTATTATTCACACTCCACATAGGCTTTAAAGAGTTTTCCATGTGCCTACACCTCCTCATGCCTTTAGTTAAAGATCTGTTGTGAGAATCTCTCAAGAACCTGAATTAATCTTACGCTAATATTATCTTAAGAATAAACATCAGTGTTACCACTAAAGTCTATTGAAAAATTCATTATTTAACTACTAACTGCCCAAAACTGAAGCACCTCAAAAATATTCTGGTTATGACTCATCACCAAAGAGCAAAACAGATTCTTCAGAAAGGAGAAGTCTGCTTATTACAGATGCACTGGAGCATTTTACAAAAGTGTTAGGTAGATAGACTATCTTACAAGTGAGAGTTTTAGGCCTTTTACATGGAGTGCCAGTTGTTGCAGCATCTAGGTTTCTTCATCTACTACTTGCATCTACTACTGTGATCTTCTACAAGACAGCAAGATCTCTTCTGCAGGAGACATGCAGTATCTGTCCAGGATAGAGACTGGCTAGTAGTATCAAAGTAAGACACTACACAGGTACTGGCTAGACTAAGGGTCACCGAGACATTGTTTTCTTCGGAGATAGTCTGAATTCCTCTTGCAATGTCCCCAAGTTCAGTACCTTGGTAAGCATGGTTATAACTTCAAATTGCAGCACTTTTGGGACAATAGAGCTCTGGTGCCAAATATATGCCTGCTGAAAATGAAAAGACCATATCCAAGAATACATATTTCTATGTCAAATGTATCTCAGAGCACAATGGCCTCAGTTACTGATGCAAGCAATGCATCTTGATACCAAAGCGGACCAAGAAACAGATCTGATGAGTCTGGAGGATCAGTTTTACGTCCCCTCCTTCTAAGGATACCCACATACATTAAGAACTGCACTTCCTAATATTCTCAGCCAAAAGCTTAATGACATGTTTTAATGATTTGCTGACACTGTTATGGGTACCAGTTGTGTTCCTAAAAATTTTGAGAGACACTATTTCAATTACTTAACAATGAATGCATACTAGAGGAGACACCAGCAGAAGAGATGTTACCCAGCTCAAGCACAAGCTCTGCTTCAGAAATTAATCTCAAACAGAACTAGATTGGCCTAAGCCCAGGCAGAACTGAAGAAAAAGTGGTGGCAAAACAATCTCTCTGTAACGTGTCTCTGTGGAAGTAGAATGAATCTGCCATTTTAACACGTGACATTTCAAAGTCTATTGTCAAGCATAATGGTCAAAAGATGCTATTTGAACTTCTTTTTAAAAAATTACTTCCATCTATTTACCTTTTGATAGGGGAGAAGGCTGCAGTATTATCTAATAATTTAATAAATCAAAACTGATTTAAGAAAAGGTAACAGTTCTCTACAGATAGCTTAAAAGAACAGTGCTCAAAAGTTAACAAAGCTATTCCTGCCCCACCCCCAAATAGTAATATGAAAGAAAGGGGACTCCATTTTCCATGTCTTTGTACTAGAAAAACATAAATTATACAGTGGTCAGTGCTACTTATTCTCAGAATTCAGTCTCGTGCCCATCTAAAGCTGATACAAAGATTACATAGCTCTTTTACTAGCTGCTATATAGAGCTATTATGACTTTCTAGCTTTGGAGTGCTCAAAACAAGTGAGAAAAACACTGCAGCTATAGAAAGAATGAAAAAGAGAAGGACAAGTTTTCTCTTGACAAATGTAAAAGTGCTGTAACAGAAAGATGAGGTTGCAGAAATAGGAGCAATACAACAACAAACCGTAATATGACATCCTGTTAAGTGTCCAGTTAGCTTACTGCCAGGATTATAGTTATTCTCTTTCTGTTCCTTTTGAGAGAGTTTGAAAAGGTGTTTTTTTTTTTTACATCTATAGCTGTAAACCTTTTAGACTGTGCCATGTTTGGCACTGAACCTGGAACACTGAACTTAGGAAATGTGGCACTCACTTCTGCTCTGTACACAGTGCATTTCAATATTACTCTCTCATTCAACTGCCAGATGGTCATGAATAAATATAACACAATTTGAGCTCCTAACAAATAACACTCTTTAAAACATTGAGATATAAAGCCATACATAACATTTAAAACCTAGCAGAAGTTATCTATGCATTGCTGCAATATCCAATTCATATTGTTCCTAATACAAGCATATACTGCCCGTGTCCTATATAAACAAAAAAAGTTACCTTCATATACTTGTTGATGGACAAGCTGATTAGATCAGATATGAGATTTCCACAGTGTGTTTCAAATAAACTGATACTGGTTAAATTCTCCCCCGTCACATTTATGAAATTGTTAGCATATACAACTTGTCCTAAAAGACAAAAGAAAATTACACCTATTTAGTCCTGGGTTTGGCTGTTTAATACAAGAAAGAAATGTTTTTTCTATTCTATATATTTTAGAATTGGTTTGTTGAGCTGTATGTAACTGTAATTTACAAACTCATTTGGGAAAGTTCTTCAATTCTAAGTTCAAGCTAGTCCCTTCCTTACTACACTGAAGTCTGGTATTATTCTGGTTGACAGTAAAATAGTTTGGCACTTCACAGCCTTTTATTGGCACAGTTTTTGCAGTGGAATAAAGATTTATTTATCTGCAAGCTCCTCTTTCTCACATGCCAGTGCGCATGTTCTGAAATCATGACATGTTTTGCAGATATGCAAGTTGATGACAAACAATTCTGGAGAGGTCTAACACTTTCTTATGGATGTGTTGATGTAAAAAGCTGGCAAGAACGTATTCCAACTTGAGCATTTGTAGGCATTATCACAGATAAAATGGTAAAATTAAAAGGCTGTAAGATCTTATCCCACTAGCTTTCAACAGTACAACTCCTTTCACATCAGTGAAACAGAAGATATGTAGAACTATGCCTGTATTTTATTCATGGAAATGCAGGGTGAAGCCCTGAACTTACTATCCTGCCATTGGTCTTAGTAGTGTGAAGTTTCTACTCAGTATACGTTACACAAGACAAGATTACTGCGCTCAGAATTTTATCTAGAAATCAATATAGAATTCTGAACAACAGACTGCCTCCAACAGTTTCCCTATCCCTTCTCCAAAAGGCCCCCCAAAAGAAAAATGGTTATCCCACAGCAGATCATACAAGAAAGTTAGAATTACAGAACAACAGCCAACTCACACATCATCCATTAGCAGAGATATGCATAAACAGAGAAGATGCTTTAATCTGAGCAAGGCTGTGTTGTGACAGCACTCAAGAGCAGCCAAAAGCAAATCCAAGAGTTCAGATTCAGTACCAGTTACCTGGGCTAAACATACAGTGCGTTCTTTCTAGACCTCAACATTACTCCAACTGTTGCAATTTCTATATGGAACTTATGTCAATAATTTATTATAAGGGGGACTGTTTGTAGTGACACAATGATTATAAAAGAAAATACATTTTTGTGATTTATTTTGCTAGCAAAGTTCTTCACAAAGCAAAGTTCTATTCTGCATTTTAGCAGTTCTTCAGCAAACTGAACTACTTTGAAGATGGGTTCTTCAGTTGTATTGCATTCTATGACCTTTTTTATCTAGCTTCTATGAACAGCTTACTCTTATCAATCTTTTTTGCTCTTTTGAAGGCTTTTTAGGAAGAAAAAGAAAAAAAGAAAGGAATTGCCTTGGCTCTTTTTCTTGCTGTATTTTTACAAGCACCTCTGACTAAGGCAACATTCTTCCTTTGCCCAGTATTTTCTTAGTGTCTCATATGGTTAACAATACAAATTCTCTCTTTTGAGATTCTTTGTTCTGATCCATCCTCAGACACTTTTCCTACATTATTTTCATCAAACTGTTGTTTACTGTTATGCATTCTGGGTCTCTGCAAAGGCATTTTTTTATGTGATGTCAAAATTTACTACGAAATATTATGTTGTAAGCATCAGTTGAGCACAAACTTCATCATCTTGGTTAAGAACAAATTCCTAAATAACATTTCATCTTCATTACATGAAGATTTACGAAGAACCTGCCCTCACTATATTTGAGTTTACCCCATCAAATATAGCTATGCTTAAAAACTACCAAAAGTAGTAAATGATTCTGGATAAATTGAGAAATATATGTAAGTCATATGTACAAGAAGTAGTTCAAGAAAAAAAAATCTGCATACTTACTCATCATTTTTTCATCTAGTACATGAAGAACTTCCAATAGTATCCAATAAATATCCAAGTAGAGATGTAGTAAATGCCACGATGGGGGAAAGAGCTGTGATTAGAAATAGACACATTTATTTATTTTTCACATTTCCTTAGCAAATTCTGGATACTATACTGAGACACACAAAAGATGGGCATGCATTATGCCTGCAGTGAACATTATCATTATCTATGATCAAATACATTGTAACATACAAACATGCTATTCAGTTAATGAAAAAAAACAAACACAAAACCAAACAAAACCACAAAACCTTCATGACAACTAATTCTATCTGTAGAGGATATTTGTGAAGTTTTGAATCTGATCTAAGCTATAATTTAAACACAATGTCTTGATATAAGCTTGGCAGATTAAAGCACCGTTAGGCATCCTTTCCAGAAAAGTATTAGGTAGCATACAAAATGCTAAAGTGTGTCTTTTAGTAATTCCAAAATTTCAATATTCTCTTCCTTACAGTCTACTTGAAATTCCTACTTCTTTCATCAGTTCAACAGTGGCCCTACTGACAAGCTAAAGAAACAGGAACATTCAAAATGCTGCTTCTCAGCAGATCATTCCCCTCCAGATACTAGTTTATACAGCCTAAGACTAAAGCCCCTTTTTTCTCTCTAAAAGATTTGAAAGCATTTGTTATTATACGTATGCAGAAATCTTAATGGTATATACTTCACTAGTGTTTAATGTTTAGTGTCTGCTTCCATGTCTGCACTTTTCTTCTTTATATACCCGATCTTTTCCTATTTTGAGTCAAGATTTCAGAGTGTAGGTTTTAAAAAGTGCCCCTTCCCCTGGTGTCGTGGTTTAAACCCAGTCAGGTAACTCGTTCGCTCACTTCCCCCCCTTTCTTGCCTTCCCCCTGCTCCCGGAGGGACAGAGAGGAGAATCGAAAAGAATGCAACTCCCACGGGTTGAGATAAGAACAGTTTAGTAACTAAGGTATAACACAAATCACTACTGCTACCACCAATGATAACAATGATAAAGGAAATAACAAGGGAAGAGAATACAACACCTCAGCACCAGCCGACCGATAACTTGCCCCCTCAGCCCGACCAAGCACCGACCGATACCTCCTCCAACCCTGCAGTCTCCCAGCCCTTCCGGCTCACTCCCAGTTGCATCCTGGGCATGACGTGCTGTGGTATGGAATACCTCTGTGGTCAGTTTGGGTCAGGTGTCCTGTCTCTGCTTCCTCCTGGCTTCCCCTCCTCCCTGGCAGAGCATGAGGCTCACAAAGTCCTTGGCCAAACCATCGCTTGTTATCAGCTCTGTTCCCGAGCTGAAAGTCAAAACACTGCACTGCACCAGCTACCAAGAAGGGGAAAAATGACTGCTACTGCTGAACCCAGGACACCCGGGAAACTCAGAAATTTTAACTATTAGTAAGGACATACCAGAGGAATTTTTTAAACATGCAATATAAAGTGCAACTTACAATTTCAGCCTGAAGAAATATGAAATGCTATTCAGCCAAAATTTAGCAAGTTGAATATGTACTTTTACACAAAAAATAATTTTAAATTATAAAAGACATTAACCTTTGCCTGATGTTGAATAGTAAATGCTGCCAAGACACTACTAGGGAGTTCACAAAGGTGACCAATGTGCATGATCAAAGCATGAAGCTCCTCCACCAGTGTTGATGGTAACTGCGCTTCTAGTTCTTCATATGGATGGAGCATTCCATCCTTTTCCTCTTTAGGGGGTTCCAGATACCTGAACACACACAGACATACAATCAGAAAATGGGTAAGAAGCAGCCGCGCAAAGTTCAGTACATGTACTGTGTGCAAACTTTACCTGAAGATGAAAACTTTCACATAATTCAAAAACTGAGTACATCGATGCCTGATGCTCTCTGCTTCAGAGTGCAAGTTTGCAGCTCGACCTGAAGTAAAAGAGATTGATAGCTTAAAGCAGATGTGCCCACACTATGACTCACATTAACATATGCATTCTCCACATTAAGCAAACCAAACCACTGGAAAGCCACCCTATTCTGAGGACAACCTGGGAGGTAGCTGGTGGAGAACACCCACTTCTCAATGTCATCTTGCCAGAGGGATCCATATTTCATCTTATCATCAGATGGATATCCAGATACAGAGAGAAAAGAAGGCAGCCAGCCCCTCAAGAAAGGAGGCAGAGGCAAGCAGTAAGTGCTGGAAAAAAAAATCATTCAACCCTACCACCCTGCTCTCTGTGTGCTTCCAAGACACCTTCAGAAAAGGTATGTGTGAAACAATTTCTCAGCATCCTTTTCTCTTGGGGGACTTAAGCAGGTGGACTTATTTGGAAACAAGCTTTGTAACTTCTCTTCCTAAGCAACGCATTCTTGCATAGCCCCTTAAATGGTGTAATGCCAAGAGCCATCCTATAGCCTGCCTTTCACCTGCAGCTCTGTATCCTTTCAGTTAGTTATTGCCGCTATGTGTCTCCCTTTGCTCTCTGAAGCTGTTGTTCTCGTGATGTTACCTTCCTTATCTTGCACCTGCAAGCTCAAACACCATTATTACAGCAGAGATTCATTGGAAGCTACTGCCACTGGTGTGAGAATCACTCATAACTCTCACACCTTGCCATGGAGCTTTCAGCTTACATTAGAGAAAAATGAAGCTTGGTGCACAACAAAAAAGAGAAAGTCATTTAAATATCCACTAACTACTTCCCAATAATGTATATAGGCAAATGCTTAGCAACCACTCAGCCTGTAACACTTCTGATGCCAGTCACTGGAGCATCATAACTAGTAACAGCAAATAAGGAGTTTGAGCAGGCCCCCAGTGAAAGTGTATCACACTAGAAGAGATGGGTGGCAAAAACTCTTTGCCACCTGCTGCACTGACTGCATGTCCATGAAAAGGCAGTTGCTTTTGCTCCTCTCCCCAGCTCACCACTGGGGAGTCTTTCATTTATTGGTCTCCCTGTTCCCTTTATTTCCCCCCACCATGCCCTCCAGGTAACCTTGAAGCTAACCTATGCCACTTGTTACAGACCCCACAAAGTTTTGTCCATATAAGCCTATCTCAACATCTTTTGAGCAACAACACTCACTGAAAAGCAAATCAACTGGTACAAGTACCATAATATTCCAGTGTAAAGCCTACCCTCAACTACATCAGAAGCCACAGGATCTGCCGTGGTAATGAACCATAGGTTTAAAGGCTCAAATCACTGTTCTAAATGAATTATTTAGAGGTATTACTGCTGCTTTGTAACAGTAAAAAAAAAAAAATAAAAATCTTAAGTTCTCAGAAGATCTGTTTAAGCAAAATTTTATCTTACAGTATTCTACTACAAAGTCTTTTATAAAGTGTCATAAATCATTGAACAATGAAATAAGCAGAACAAACCAGCAACATTAGAGTGTTAAGAAAAGATCGGGCATTTTCAAAACCAGACAAAAACAATGCAGAGGATAAGAAAAGATTTCATATGGTTTCCACATTACACAGTTCTTAGTACCAAGACTCCAAAACCCATTAAGACTGATAGGGAATGAAATTAAATGTACAATATTGATATCTGTATAAACATATATGCACAACAAAGATACACTGAGGGGTAACCTGGGGGCTTTAACAGTGGCAATAGTGCATTTATCTACAACATCAATAATACCTAACATCACACTGCCTGCTGTATAAAGGGGGAACTGAGTCACAGATGTATCAGTGACTAGCTCTAAGTTACAAAAAAGCTTGGTGCAAAACATAAAATCCAACAATTATTTATTTTACCAGCTTATGTGACAAGAGGAAGAACAGGATAGAGACAAGAGAACCAAACAGATGCTTAAACTGAAGGGGAAAAGGACTACAGAACAGTTTCTTGGTGTCCAGTTACCAAAAAAAAAAAAAAAAAGTTCAACTGTAATTTAAAATAAGGTTATTTCCACTTATGTATTAAACATCAGCAAAATTAGACTTTCAAGATACAGTCAACAAGAGCATATGACAGAAGGACAGAAGCTGGATGACAGATTCATACTGATGATTTACATGGCAGAGCATGCCAGTATCAAACCAAAAATAATAACAATGCATAAAACTATTTACTCCTACTCTTAGGATACTAGCAGTGTATCTCAAGCAATAAGAAGATACCATAGTCAGTTTATTTCTGAGTAATTACTGAACTTTTCAACTTGCTAAGTAATTCAGCCTTCAAACTCGCAATAAGCCCAAGGCTGCAATAATGCTTCAGAAACATACTTCTTCTCGTGCCTTAGTATTTAATTGAAATAAAACGTTTTGTAGCAATCCCGTTTTATCAATCCTGCTGCAAAGATAAATTAAGTTTGTAAGTAACTTTAAACTAAACAGGTATTACTAACTCATTTAAATGTAAGCCAAGAGAAAACTGGAAGAAGTTCCAACCCACTACCTTTGTAAATAAAATAGTTATTGGGATCTTTGACGCAACTTTCCATTTTTATAAATGAGTTAACAGTTTTGCCAAATTCTACCTCAGGGATGACATCTCAAGTCAAATTAATGCAGAATCCACAACTGAGGTCAGAAGGGTCAGTATTGCCCTGTGCACCTACTATACAGAAAGATCTGGTTCCAAACTGACTCTCAACATTTTCCCTGTCTGTTTTCACACTACCTTACATCACTTGGCTGCCTGTATTTGTACCTTTACTGCAAGTTTGTGCTGGTTATATGCTGTTCTGTGGCACAGTCCATGAGCCCTTGGTCAAGAGAGAAAGCACAAGCATGATCTGCAATAATGTATTTCAGTAATGAAAAGACAGTGATACCTATTCCAATGTCAAATTAAACGCGTTAAACTTACCAAAATCAGAAGAACTCGTTTGTACTAAGTCTTCCAGTGTGTATATCTGTTGCCTAATTAAAGGAATACAGAAGTTTATCATATTTATATAAAGAAAAGTTACTTAACTACATTCTAGTAAGGTCTAAATAGAACAGAGAGAGGTGTTACTTGCTTTGTATTTCTGAATAATGTTACACAAATGTACCTTAGGAAAGAGTATTAGTAGAAGGCAACAGACACATACAAGTGTGAAGTGATGACAATAGAATTTTTGCTTGTTTGTAAAACATTAATTACAGTTACAACAGATATAAACCTAGTTAAATATCTGGGGAAGAAAAAAACAGCCACACACACAAAATCCCTGAAAGCCATTGCCCGTAGGTGACCTTTCCACAAGCATAACTCAACTTTTTGACCACACAATAAACCCTAAAGTTAGTCCTCATGGCATACACTCAGAATACACTAAATTAGTTCCCTGTGAATGAGCACTAGTAAATTCTGTCAGCAGTTTTTCCTGCTTAGGGTGCTCTGCTGCTTAACTTCAGCATAAAAGATAAAACAGCAAATTATAGTAAAGGAAAGTGTCTCTAGAAAAATTAAAACTCAGTTGAGTTTTGAAGGAGAAAGAAAGCATTTTTAAAGGAGCAGCCGACACTGCAAATGAAAATTAAAAATAGCTGTAACATAGGTAAGTACTCAGCCATGTTCTGCAACAGTTATTTTCAAGTGGTCTTCAAGTACAGTCTCCACAGAGATAACATGGTACTAAACTGAATGAAAAGCGCAACTGTGCAAGACAGACTTGCTGCATAAATTGAGGAAGAAGCTCTCTGCCTCGTTTCTTATGCAGTCAAAGCAGCAACTACTGAAGGATACTTGGATCCAACCCACATCAAATGCTCTTACTGAAAAAAAAGAAAATAAAAAAAAAATAAATCCAAACACAAAGAAAAAACCCAAACCAAAACCCCCCAAAACAACACCCCAAAACAAACAAACAAAAAAACCAGAAAATTCCCCCAAGGATCCAAAACCCCAGGTTGTAACCTGGCAGGTACACATTAGAATTATCTCCCTTAGCTTTTCTTTCCTGGGATAAAATCACGTCAACTACCCAAGATTATTTTCAGCCATTTAGTCATTTTGTGGGGTTTTAGTTGCTTGTCTTGTTTTGAAATCAAAGTTGAATTTCAAGTATTTCAACCATGTAGAAAGGAAGGACAACTAAAGCAGGAGAGCTCTTGAGGCTGAAGGTTAGAGAGACAGTGTCAGAAAGGAGCCAGAAGGAGACAAAAAAAAAAAATAAAAACAAATATCTCTCCACTAAATTAATAAAGGCAGAATAGAGTGGGCTGATAAAATACAACCACAAACTGGGCATGCCGAGCATAACAAAGATATCATCAGTTAAGTAAGTCATTTTAATTTCAATCTGCATTTGTACCTCAAAGATTGATCCTTACTGCTGTTAATCATTAAATAATTTGGTTTGCAAATAAATATTCTGACAGTTTATTAATCAAAGATCTTTATTAATCAAAGATATATTGTCTTAATATACCCACTCAAATGGCTATACAGGTCTTACCCATTTTGACTCACACATCATCAATTACATAAAAAACTCACAGGTAAGATTTTTTTATTGCACAAGTCATGTTTTTAACTTGCTGTTCCATCGTATAATATTGTTATTAATTAAAATATTTTAAAATACTAAATAGCCACATTAAATATTTACAGACACAAAAAAACTAGGTTTCTGTAAGCATGTATTTAAACATAGTTCAGTTTATGAAGTACAGATGATATCTATTTTCAACCACCTTGTCCTCAAGAATAATTACAAACTGTACTTCTCCCATATGAATTTCTACAATGGAAAAAGGAGTTTTACTACTTTCAGTTGTCAACTGGTCTTTAAACAAAAGTGTTCCATTTCATGACTGAACAAATGAACTGAAAGAGAGAATATCTTTGCAGAGGGACTTGTCACGCCAAAGGACAGTTTAGCAAGCAAACTCTCATACTACAGTTAGCTGAAATCCATTACTGCTACCAGTTCAGCGGGTTTTAAAACATGTATAGCTTGAATAACTTAAATATCACAATAAAAATATTATGCTTTATGTTCATCTCTATTACAATTACAGAGTAGTTGATGTCACAAAGGAAAAAATATCAATTTAATTCAACAGATCAACCGCATTGCTGTGTAACTGCCTAGTGATTTCATCTTAATAAACAGATCAGACTAAATGCTGAGATACAGTGCTTCTTTTAACTAATTTATCCTCCTGTATCCTTCATTATCAGATTATTTTCTTTTTTTTAAATCAGAGTAAAGTCAAAGCATGCATCAAACAAGCAAAGCTAAATAAAATTGGGTTTGATATACTTCCTGCCATCTATGCCATGGTGTTTCAGTAAGTCAGACCCTATCAGTGATGTTTCACATCATGCCCTTGGTCATACCCTAAAGAGACAGAAGTATCCACTACAATCAAATGAATGATGGAATATACCACACATTTGTGGAATCACACAAAAGCTCTGCTCCTATCCACTCTCTGTATGTGCTGTACATCCTGAGGATTATCAGTAGCAAAGAGGATTATCAGTGATCTGTGTATTTGCACTGACCAGATTAAACATCTACATTGAATTAGTCAAACACTGAGTAACTGTACCTGAAGAGATTGCTGAAGCTATCCTAATCCAAACAATTGAAGGAAATGCTGAATCCAGCATTTTCACTGTTTGATTTTTAACCTCCACTTTTCTTTACACACAAAAAAAAGGACTTAAAATATTCAAAAGACAACTTCAATTATATGGGTAGCACAATCTCATTCAAGGAAACCTTATATAGTGTATTCACATATTCTGAAGCTAGGACCTTCTAAATCACAACACTGTTGTAATAACTATACTTACCAATTTTTATCTACTGATGGCTAAGAGATGCACCACACCGATTAAAAATCTGTGGAAAAATGTACTTAATTCTGTAATTCCGTCTGTGTCTTATCCATCACTTACTGGAGCAGCAAACAGCATAATCTTTCTGGATGCTTTACGTAGCCCACGGTCTTTTACAATTTTACTATAGGAAACTTGAAAAGTATGTTACATCCTTGCAGTGAACATAGTTACAGAAGTGAATTAATTATAAAATACATTATCATACCTAAGTAATCCAAAGAGAAATCCACAGGATTCAACTAATGCCATTTCAGTAACCCACTGAAAGCCAAACAACTCTACTACATCATCTTCATAATCATTTGGAGAAGGATCTAGTCTCAGCAAAACCCTGTAAAATAGAGCAAATAATATTCATATTGCCCAGTAATAAGCCCATAGAATACAACATCTACATCTGTCTTATGCAACGCTGATGTTTTAACAATTTATCAGCAGCACCTATACTTTAGATAGGAAGGAACAGCAGTGCTCTCAAAAGGCTATTATACCTTTTACAGCAATATGTTACACAGCACATAAAATATGACAACACCTAGCTTCAACAGCATAAAATCATGATATAGTCACAGGGCACAATATATTTTAGAAACAAATAAAAATTAACAAGCTACCATCTTGAAGCATCTTCATCGTTACAAGGGGGCTGAGACATAACATACAGGCTGTCCTTAACAGAAGAGGCTGCTACATTAGACAGCATGCTCCACTCTACATTTATGGCTGGAATCTGTCTTCATGTACACTACATAAAATCACAGAATAGTTAGGGTTGGAAAGGACCTTAAAATCTAGTTCCAACCCCCCTGCCATGGGCAGGGACACCTCACACTAAACTATATGACCCAAGGCTTTGTCATCCTGACTCTGAACACTACCAGGGATGAAGCATTCATGACTTCCCTGGGCAACCCATTCTAGTGTCTCACCACCCTTACAGTAAAGAACTTCCTCCTATATCCAATCTAAACTTCCCCTGTTTAAGTTTTAATCTGTTGCCCCTTGTCCTATCACTACAGTCCCTAATGAAGAGTCCCTCCCCAGCATCCCTACAGGACCCCTTCAGATACTGGAAGGCTGCTATGAGGTCTCCACGCAGCCTTCTCTTCTCCAGGCTGAACAGCCCCAACTTCCTCAGCCTGTCTTCATACGGGAGGTGTTCCAGTCCCCTGATCATCCTTGTGGCCCTCCTCTGGACTTGCTCCAACAGTTCCATGTCCTTTTTCTGTTGAGGACACCAGAACTGCACACAATACTCCAAGTGGGATCTCATGAGAGCAGAGTAGAGGGGCAGGATCACCTCGTTCGACCTGCTGGTCATGCTCTTTTTGATGCAGCCCAGGATACAGTTGGCTTTCTGAGCTGCGAGCGCACGCTGAAGCCGGATCATGTTAAGTTTCTCATAGACCAACACCCCGAGTCCTTTTCCACAGGGCTGCTCTGAATCTCTTCTCTCCCCAACCTGTAGCTGTGCGTGGGATTGCTCAGACCCCAATGTAGGACCTTGCACTTGGTATCGTTAAAACTTCATAAGGTTGGCATCAGTCCACCTCACAAGCATGTCAAGGTCCCTCTGGATGGCATTCCTTCCCTCCAGTGTATCAACCGAACCACACAGCTTGGTGTCATCAGCAAACTTGCTGAGGGCGCACTCAATCCCACTGTCCATGTAAGGGACAAAGATGTTAAACAAGACCGGTCCCAACACCGATCCCTGAGGGAGACCACTCGTTACTGGTCTCCAGCCAGACATTGAGCCATTGACCACAACTCTTTGCATGCAGCCATCCAGCCAGTTCTTTATCCACCGAGTGGTCCACCTATCAAATTGTTGTCTCTCCAATTTAGAAACAATTTACAGACACGCCTGATAATTAATGCTAGAATATACAATTACTCCTTTACATACATTTAAAAATACTTATACAGAACACATTGATAAAAGCATATTAATAAAAGCACACTTCAAAGCAGGTGAACTGAGGAGAGTCACAAAATGCGACTTCATTATTATAACAAATTAATTCTAGACCATGACTGCCTTTCACCCTGGCTAAGGAAAAGATAAAGAAAACAAGAATTACCACTTTACTCAAAATGGAGAAAATCAAACATCTGTATAGACTGTTAAACCAGAACTGTGTAAATATAAAAATATTTCATTAATGTGTTTAAAAAAAAAAAACAAAACAAAAAAAAAAAATCACAGCCAGCTGCATAGTAAGATCAACAAAGGCATTAAAGCAAATTATTTCAAAATTTTCCCACTATCCTTCATTAAGTACTTGAGCATGTCTGAAGAGGAAATCACTAATATGCAAGAAATATTTCTATTTTTTAAAATGACAACAAAAAATGTACTGGGCAAGCACTTGGATTTCATTGTATTACAAACCAAATTCATATTCTTCTTGAACTATACACTATTACCAATTCAGTCCTCCAAGGCAAAACCAGCATCTGCTGAATAATCAGCTCAATCTCCCATAACACCTGTAGCTCACTTGGTAACTGCCTAAACACTGGTCTGTTTTGAAGCTTTTAGCAATTACATCCAATTACTCTTGTTCTAGATAATGAAGACAGAGGAGTCCCTCATGTGCAGGCTTATCCAAATTACAATTCAAGCAGACAAGGTGAATAAGCAACAGGAGAACAGTATTATCATGACTGCAGTGACCTGGGAAACTTGTTTACATACAAGCTCCTAACTACTCACTCACTACTCAAACTATTTCTGCTATAAAATGCCTGATGTTCATTCAGACATAGGCTCTCTCACTCCTCTACCTGGCATAAATTTGAATGAATGTGTTCTGATACAATTACAATAAAAAACATCACCCCCCCAATACAATAATAAAAACCGACCACAACAACAACAAAAAAGGGAATCCCTTTTAAGGCTTTACAGAAAAGACTGAAATTAAGGTTAAAGAAACCCAAAGTAACAACACAACATATGAGGCTTGACAGGAGGACAGACAGAATGAATATGCTTTTGTAGGAGAAAGAACAAAATACCTGCAGGATCAGCAAATGGCATAGAAAACCAAATTGGATCACAGATAGTAAAGAAGGTATTAACTAAACCAAAGTAACTTTTTAGAATCTCATGGAAAATACTTTCTTTTAATCTGGGTTCTGAACCTTAAATCCAGAATAAATGCAGAAGTAGAAGGCTTTGAGAAAGATGGTTCTTAAAGCTACAGAAGACAGTACCAGCATCTGGGGAAGCTGGGCAGAGGAGGTTTGTTTCTATCATGTGGAAAAAAGAGAGAAGTGAATAGAAGCGAATCTAGAACACTGCTCAAAGCAGTGTATCAACACAATTGCCCTTCCTACTTCAGTATACCAAATAAGTTGATCTCAGGATCATAATAAGGGCTGAAGAACAAACTGATTTGGAAACCCTGACAGCATTTAGAGGCACTAAACACCAGTGGAAAGAACATCTTAAAGGCTATTATATTTGTAATTAAAAAAACCCCATACCTCTTAAGAGACCCACTTGCTAAATAAGACTCTGCAGAAAAGCTTCTCCCTCCATTCTGGTTGTCAAAAGCACAGGAAAAACAAGGCGGCTTTGAGTTCTCATTCTCCATTTCCATTGCCATCTCCAAGCTTTCAGTGAGAAATGGGGGTGTAGAAGAAGCCGTGAAGTCATCGTCCATTGCATCCACCTGATCAGGAAAACAAACAGGTAAATTTAAAAAAATTCATAATGCTTCTTCAAATAATCCTTCAGCTCAAGTGAGGACACAGAGCTGACTAACTGTACCATCAAACTAACAGACATATATCAACAAGAAAGGCAATCACAGGCTCATGCCCTGCCACACAATCCTGCCACTTTGTGCCATTTTAGCTTCCTCCATCAAGCAGACATACCAGTGACTACAAAAAAATCACAATATGTTAATTTTCTTCTGGTTTAACTCTCTAAATTAAGTAGCAATGAGGTTAGACCGGCGCTAGGGTAAAATAAGAGGCAAAAATGCACCTCAAGGCCTAAGTGAACTACTTTCAGCAACAGTTCATTTTGCAATCAGAGTACCTATGCCACAAAAATACATCATATATTACAGGACGGAAGCTCTCCAGGCCTTTAAGGCAACGTTACAGCTCAAGTTTCTTCTAAGGAAAGAAGCAGTAAATATATCCCATGGGATCATTACAGAACCCTGAAATGCTGAAGTTTTAAAGCTCAGAAAACGACTGTAGGGCTGATTTTGATATAGCTAAAATTGGAAGTTTCTATTTAAAAAATCTGACTCCCCAGGAATCTAAGAAAAAGAGAAACAAAAGTAAAGGAGAAGGAAAATCATGTCCAAAAGAAACTAACTATATACTTGACATTAGTGAATTAATATTTTAAACAACATAACGAAAGAGTAGAATTAGGCAACACGTTTCACAATATAATTAAAACGCTAAATTACCTTGGCAGGTTTTGATACTGCTCTTGCAGAAACCAGTTTACACCATGGCGTTTGTAACAGAGAGGCTTGACTGAAAAATAAGCTCAGTGGGAAAAGAAAAGCAAAAAAAGCTTCTGTCCTACTTTTCCCCATTCATTCACATTCCTGTGGTGCTGTGCAGCAGAAGCAGTACAAATCTTAAGTGAAAGAATGACTTCAGTGCTTCAGTTTACAGCAGGACCCTATGTATAGGTGTGTTAGCACAACTGGCAAGTAAGAAATAAGCAGGCAAAGGGAACCCCCTAACTCAGAAGTTTCTAAGAAAACTGATCAGTTTAGGGTACAAAAATCCCCACACACGACAGAAGCACGGGGAATAGAAGTGCAGTAAGGGCAGCTCATCACTGTGGCAGTTCCTGTCACTTGTATCCACCACATCCTGATCTAGCGGAACCCATCACTGACTCGAAGTACCACAACTTTCATTGCCGGCCATGGTAGAGAACTTCCCCGGCTGCAATCCGTGGGCGGGAACTACAAACCGGTGACAGAGCTTCCTGGAGCAGCACCCCGGCAGCAGCAACCCCAGCTCCGGGCAGCGGCCACGAATACGACCCACTCCCGTCAAGCCTGCAGCCCAGCACGGCTCTCCTCTCCCCGGAAGTGCTTCCCCCCCGCACCGCACCGCACCGCACCAGCTCGCGTCGGCCCGGCCCGGGCCTGAGCCGGGGGATACACTAGACAACGGCAGGCCGGGGCCGAGATCGGGATGGGGAAGCGGGGTGCGAGTAAGAAGAACGACAGATACCTGCGCGCTGGCCAGGCGGCCCTCCACTTCCGCGCCCGGATCCTTTTCCGTACGTCCCGCGCGCCACCGTCACCCCAGCACTGCGCAAGCGCCGCCGTGCCGATTGGCCGCCTGCCGCTCTTCCTTCCCCCGCCACTCGGCTTTCCTCCGCCCCGGAGAGGAAGGACGGGAGTTGCCTGGCCGCTAGCTCGCCCGCCCGCCCGCCAGTCCGCTCCCTCCCTCCCTCCCTCCCGCTCCGGAGCCGCCCCGCGCCCTAGCCCGCCCTCCCACCTCAGGGTGTAGCGACGCGTGCGCCCCGCAGCGGCGAAGCAGGCAGGCCGACCGCCCACCAGTGCGTCCCATCAGTGCGTGTCTCCGGCTCCAGCTGGGCTCTGGCTGCCGCCTCTAGGGCCTCCCCAAGACGACAGGCCCGCCGTTCTTTCATCAGCGTGAACTCCGCCTGCCCCCGGCTTTGCCCCTTGCTCACCGATCCTTTCCATGCTGCGGCTGCATTCCCCGGACCCTGTTAGTTCCCAGTGCTTCATACTTCAAATGTAGGTGGGGTTTAGTAGCAGCCGCCTCTCCCAGCCAGCCCGTAGCGCTCACGCAGCTTCTCTCGGTGACTCCAGGCGTCCCCTGCCTGGCCAGCCACCACAGGTGACTCCTGGCTGCCTCTCACCTGAACGCCACCATCTTGCCACTGCTAGTAAGTGCCCCAGGTCAGGCTGCTACCTCCTCGTCTTCTTGTGCTTCAGCTGTCCGCTACCTTCCTTCGGTTTCCTTGTCATCTAGCCTGTACATGAACATCGTTTTCCTTCTCGGCCTCGTCATTTGCTCATCCCTGTGCTCGTTCAGTGATGGGCAAGAGGTCCTGGTCTTCTCTGATGCCTTACAGAGCCTGATCCAGCCTTCTTAGGTTTGTCAGGTACTGCTCCTGTGGTAAACAGATGTAATTCTCATCAGACATGGGCAGTGGTGTTCAGTAGACTTAAAATTCAATCTGGGTATTGTTCTTTGCATTTACTGAAGCGCCTTCACTGGGTATGACAGTCACCACAGAGTAGGGGCCAGGGAGAAAGTCCCAAAACTTGCACCTGGCATAACTTAGTTTAAAATGCATACTGCACACCTAGCACAGCGGATATTTTGTGGATATTTTTAAAAAGTGGTGCATTATTTTGGATTGCCTTGGTTTGATATAATTTCAGAATTAATGCTCTTCCAGTTTCGCGTGGGTTTGGGGTGTAAATTAGCAGCAAGTGCATGGAACTAGTTTCCAGCAAGAAAGTTGCTCTGAAAAGTTTTGCTGTTGCTGCTACAGCTTCCTGTGAAAACTCTCCTGTGATTAAAAATGCTTCCTTTGCTCCTGTGTCTGTACGAATCCTTCATTTCCTTCTTTAAATTCCAGTCTAATTAAAAAAACCAGTACATCATGGTTAAATAAAACTGTACCCAGGATAACCCTGATTTCCATATGCAGATTTATCTGCACTGACAGCCCCCTCTTCGTCTCTTAATCTGTTTCCTCTCACCCTCCCTTCTTTCTCTTCCCTTTTCTTTCTCTTCCTCATCCCCTCTGTCTTTTTGTCTCTTCATGTCTATTGCATTATGCCTGAATAATTTTCAGCCCTGTTTTTTTTTTCTTCCTTCTTGCATGCACATGCTAAAACAAGTAGACAAAGATGCAAGGTGGTTGCTGCAGTCACTGTCTCTAGGACAAAACCAAGACAGCTCGTGATTGCAATGCCACCTTTCCCTTTTTTTTTTTCTTTTTCTTTTTTTTTTTTTTTCCCCAGCCGTGCTCGGTGATTAAACTTTCCCAGGATGGGGAAGAAAGAGGAGCTGGAAATGAAATAGGGTTGAGGAAGAATCCCATTGCAGCAGCTGCAGCCAGTGGTGTGTGCTGCCAGATGTGCTAAGCTTCCTGGGGTCCTTGACACTGAAAGGCAGTATTAAAGTATTTGGAGACAAAAGCTGCATCCTCCGTGATCATTTTCTTTATTTAACATGGCAACAGGAGCCGTGTGGGGGAAAAACAACGCACTGGATGTTGAATTGGACTTTTCTCCTTTCTGGGATGAGAGGATGTTACCTATCCCGTGCCAAGAGGCAGCTGAGGTAAGAGAGCTGATATAGCTCCTGCTTTTTCGTAGTATATTTCCTAAGCATCTTTTCTGAAACAACCTATACATATGTATGTATTTATACGTTTCTATGTTTGTATGTTTGTGCATTCGGTTTCAAGTCAGTAATGCTGGTTTGTTTTTTTTTCTGTCTTCACATCAACACAGAGAAAGTTAATTCACAATATATATGCAGAGCTTGCTCAGAAGGATCGTTTTGTGGGGATTTTTCCGAATACGTTTTTGTTTCCAGAAAAGTCTTCAGCAGTGACATCATGGTCGGGTGCTGATATTAAAACCGATTTTCAAAGTCTTTTTTTTTTAAAAAAAAAAAGCGCCCAAAACCAAAACCCGAGTAACTTTGCCATAAGAAATTGTGCTGGAGAATCATATGCTGTAATTTTCGGTTGCACTTTAAATACTGCAAGTCTTATTAAAGAGTGAGATTTTTTTATTATTATTATTATTTCTAGAACAGAAGCGATGAATGCTGCATAATTAAGTACAGTATTTAATTTGGCTGTTGTGAAGCAAAAGAATAAGGTAATAATTTTTATTGTACTAATCAGACTCAAGATGTTCTCTGTGTTAATTGGGTTAAAAAAATTGCAGTACTTATTAGAAATTCTAATTTCACGATGCAGCACTGACAATAAGCTCAGGCAGTGAATTATTCACATCTTTAATTTGCTCTCTTAATGACAGTGTTCTGTAATCAGAGTGCAGAGACTGCTTCCTATGCATTATGTATGATGTTCAGGACTTAAATGCAGGACATTATGAAGCCTCTCAGTGGCTCAGTAATTAGTTTTCCACAAGACAGGGCTTAGATATTCACAGATAAAAGTCTACAGCTGAGATAATGTTAAGGTGGTGACTCATGCTAACAAAAGCAGGGAAGTTCAAATTTAATGCTGAAACTGCTCACCATTTTCCCTCATTGTGCGTAGGTGCAGGGGGAGGGGAAGGAAGTCTTCAAAACTAGCCCGCCATGGTGAGTACACTGCGAACAGCCCTAGGGGGCAACCCGGGGGCTCTTCACTTTAGAACCGTGTTTTTGGCAACTTGACTGCTTGGGAGGGTGGAGGTGGAGTTGCGTTTTGTGTCTGTATTTAGAGGTTGTGAAAAGGGCAATAATGTACACACTATCAGAGAGTAATCATCCGTAGGAGAGATTAAATGTATTTTAAAGGATTTTACCGGAGGCACAGGCGTTTGTAACTTCGTCAAATTACGATGTTTTGAATGGGAACTACTTCGTTATGCGTTGAAACTTTATGAACACCTCATACCGCTGTGTTGCTCTTACACCTATTTCAGCTGCCATGGTTTTTACTACATATGCATTTTAGAAAACAAGCTGGGTTTTTAACGGTTTAGTTCTCACCCTCCAAAAGGTCAATCATAATGTAGGTTTGTTCTTTTTTCCTTGGATAGTTTACCTGATGTTACATCAAGTGATTTAAATGCAGGGAATATGCATGGTTATGTAACTTTTCTTCTTCTGTATGCTGCTTGCTACAGAATAAAGGCCAAGAATATTGAAATGAAGTTGGAAAAATGTACTTTGTCCGTAGTCACTGGTCAGATTGACAGCTATACATTTGTCCTGTGTTCTCACAATTAGAACGATAATAAATGTTTACTGGAAAAAAAATGTCTTGACCAGAGAAAGTTGTATACTTGTTTTGTGTTAACTCTCTGAAGACTAGACTGAAATAAGCATGTTTACAGGAGTAATGATCTACCAATGTAAGTTTTAGGATTAAGGTTAAAAAAAACCTAAAGATTCGAATTTAATAGTCAAATACAGATACCGGATTAAGAATTTTTAGTACACTGGACTTCTGAAGCAAAATATTTTAAAACTATTTCCTTTAAAAAAGCACCACCAAAGACTACATCTGGAATTATGGTGTTACTAGCAGCTTTTGCTCGTGTTGTCTCACCTTAAGGCCATGTGACAAGTTACTATGTAATTCCTCTTAGTAAACAGAATGCTATTTATTGTGACCAGATTACACATTATGTTTATGTATAATCCAGTCCTGAAAGTAATTGTCATGAAATTGTTGAATAAAAAAGCTGCAGATTAGATCAACGTGGCTAGACAATCCATAGCTATATCCAGAATCTGGGTGATTGTCTACATGACGAAACTTTTGAGTCTTTTGCAGAGTATGACTTTTACTCCAAGTCAAGGTCCCACAGCAAGTGATACTGTAATATGGTATCACTGTCACTACATAGCTACATTTCTTAGGTCACTTCAGCATATAGAATCATGCAGTTGAAAAGGACTCCCAAGAAGGCATCATGCCCACTCTCTTGCTCTTCCTTCAAAGCCAGGATCAATAAAATCTGTACTTTTTAATGAACAGTTGCCTGTCCTTGTAAAGATTTACAGGTTACCCAAGTTAGTTATTCCAGTATTTCACTGGTCTTCCCTTTAGGAAGTTTTTTCTGCTTTCTGATCTTAACTTTTTCAAAGTAAATTTCTTGAACCTATTCTTGCACAGTGCTTACAGTCAATTAATTTTCCTCTTTGCAGCAGACTTTTCATATTTGAGATTTTTAGTCATGTTTTCACTGTGTTCTTCTCTTAATCCCCATTTGTTTCTTTCCTCTTTAGAGGGGAAAAAAGAAAAAAAAAAAAAGGCTGGCTGGCCTTCTATTATTTCTTCTTTCTTAGAATTCACTGCTCCAAACTTTTTTGTGGGTAAAATGTCCAGGATACAATGTAGTGTAATATGAAAAGACAGAACATGTGTTTGATTAGGTTTTTAATTCAAAGAATAATGCTTCTAGTAAGATTATTCTGTGACTATAGTATTCAGTAGACTTAACTGTCATGGTAAGTGCCTTGACTGACCTAGTAAGTGATTGACCTGATGGCTGGGTATGAGGTCATCACCCTGGAAAGAGTATGTGAAGTGTTCAGCCCTCAGAGGGCTGTTTCAAGGTGTAGAAGCGCTACTGGGGAATCAAAATTTTAGGTTGTGCCCCTGTTGTAAAGCGGGTTGGGTGGCCAGAAGAAGTTAAAATCTGAAATTTTCCACATAACCCCAGCCAGATTGTACAATCTGAGTTTGAGGCACTACACTAGTCGGGTGAGAAAACTTTTTAATGAAAGTGGCAGCAGTATTAGTGGCAACCAGAAATTAAAGTCCAGGGTTAACTGTGCAACAAAGGTGAACAGTATGTTTTAGATTAAAAAAAGCAAGCCCAAACATTAGAAAGTTAGCCCATTCTAGCTAGCCTAGCAGACTGATTCTACATCTGGATCATGTATCTGGGAAAGAGCAAGCTGTCTACATAATCTGTTAAAGTGGAGGCCGGTTCATTTTCAGTCCTAAGGAGGGAAGGGCCCAATATCATTCCTAAGGCAGAGGAAAACAGACAGTTCATACTAATCTTGAGTTGTCATAGCATGGGAAGAGAATGACAATTCTAAAGCCAAAATCGAAGTCATGTTTCTGAAGAATTAAAAATGACTTCTGATGTTTGTAGGGGGTCTGAGTTAATATAATCTGGTCAGTGGTCATTTTGGTAGTGGTTACCAAAGAAAACTTTAAGGATCTTTATGTGATTATGCAGGTATGTATTTGTTTCTTAACCGTTTTATTGTCCTCTTACTGGCTTGTAACTTCATGTTTAGGAAATCGCACCAAGTTTTTTTGAGTGAGCTTATTCATATTTCTGTATTTGTTCTTCTGTCAAAAAGCAAAAAAGTAGTTATAACTTGGTGTGATTTTTAGTGATATCTCTAATAAAAAGTTAAGAAACATCCATAATGTATTTTCAGGAGCTGCATTTTGTACTTGTATTTATATTGTTCCAGGTTGAAGTACTGTTGTAAATATTAGGTTCTGAAGTAGCATGATGACTTAAGTATTTCCAAATGGCTTCTTTTAATCTAACCTAATAATACAGTCCTTTCATAAGTACAATTCCCATGGAAACCAGTGGGAGTACTACGCTGTAGAAGGGGTAATGGATACATATGGCAAGGTATCTCCCTTTTGAGTCCTTGTTTTAACTTGATTGACAAAGGATAGTGTTAGCCAAAAGTAACAAGTATTGTGAGTGCAAAGACAGTTATTGATAATACTTTGAATTCCAGATTTACCTGTTTCTCCACTGAAAGATGTATCTCAATGAAATGACAGTAATCAGAATATCTGATAGAAATCTCAAATGAATTTCCATTCACTAATGCTTTCCAGGAAATATTTTAAAAGTAGATCATATACATTCTAGCCAGAAAAATTCCATACAACTGACTCAATATTAAGAATTCCAAACTGTATATAAACCTATGCATATATTACAGAAAATAATGATAAATATTCATACTGTAAGCTCAGCTTGGGCTTTTTTGGCAAAGTCAGACTAGAAATTGGATAATGTACTGTATAACTTCACATACTCAATCTTCTATAAAACAAAAATTCATAAAACTTTGCAGTTCTTATTTGCGTCCATAGTAGAACATGAAAACAACCAAAATAGTAAGAATACTTAATGCCACACAAAAGCATCTTGGGGCTTCCAACTGCCCTTTCTTCTGCCTCATATCTATGCATCCTTTCTGTATGACTCTCATTCTGAGGGCTACTTTGTATTGTCATTAAACTCCAGCTTTCATTGCTCAATTGCTAATTTTTCAGACATTCTTTTTAAACATTTCCCCATGCTTTGTTTGAAGCTCAGAAGACTTTTACTATACCAAAAGCATTTACTGTTCCCAAAGATCACTGTGTACAACTCTTTTGTTATGTTGCTGCATGAGTTGCCAACAGTTGGACTGCTGATGTTCTTGAAATCTCTTCCTGTCATGCTATCATTTTTCATTATTTTCTTGCAGTACCTCATTTCTTGTCTTTTGCAGTGTTTAGATTGCAACGTCTGGTGAAATCGCTGTGTGTGGTTTTTTTTCTGTACTTGTCAAGAGGGTAAAATAAAGGCCTTATTAGGTTCTGTCCTAATACAATGAATAATCATAACAGTAGTAATACAAATAAAAAGTGCAGTTAATAATTTTAACTGCTACCCTTTTAATTCCTAGATTACAGATGGACTTTTCAACTCCTAACAACTTCTTTGCAATAGAATTCTATTGCGTTCCCGGAAAGTTGACAGTTTAGGGCAGTAGGAAATGGATGAAGAAGGAGGCCAAATACAAGCAAAGCAGAACTTAACCTCAAAATATTTCTGTTCAGTGTTTTCTATTTATTATCTTTGCTTCTCTTGTGGAATACTTAATCAGAAACACCTTAGGTCCAATAACAGTTGTTCTGAAAGCTTTTTGGATCTTGGGTACATACATTTTTTTCTGGTACATGGTACACAGTGGTCGTACAGACTCTGTAGATATGGCTGAAGGATTGTATGAATAGAACTATAGACTTGAGGGTTTCTTTGCCAGAAGGAATAGCTTTAGCTGAGAGTGGTGGTGGTGGATCAAAAAATTTCTGTAAGAGACATGAAGTTGTGTGGAGCAGCACACTGCAAACAGGGCTCAGAATGTTGAAAGTCAATGCAACTTGCTGGCAAAGGGACTGGTAAGGAGATCCATGAAGATTTGCTGGACAAGGAGAGACATAGAAATGGGACTGAAATAAGTAGGACTCTTAAGAGCTCTGAGCTCTTGAACACAGATGTGTACAGCCTTTAGAATCAAGGTCAGGCTGGGGGAAGACTATAAAGACTAGGAAACATGAAGGAGGAGTTTGTTCATAGGGTGACAGGAGAAAGCTATTGCATAGTCTTGGAAAGAACCAATGCTTTTAAAATGTTGTGGTACATACGTATTCTGCATGTTGGAGGCTGGTTGTCTGGCTATCAGTGTTTTGGTAGTAACAAATAGGAAGGGATGCTTGGGGAAGTGGAAGGCACAGCTCCACTATCCAATATGAAGTGTAGCAGGAAACTCTGGCTAAACCATATCACAAACATTTTGGTGCAGAAATTTAAAAAACAGAGTATCTGCTT